CCTGACTCGGTGCCAAAGGCCACGTGTCCGTCATCACCAAAGTTGCCTCAGCTCGGGAACTTGGGTACGATTGGGGAAGGTCAGCTATGAGCACCCCCTCTCGCCCAGTCCCAAGACCGGCCTCTACTAACCGTGATATCCGCTTTTGAAAACGTTATGTGTTCTTATTCCAGTTATTAGCCTAGAATTACTATGTTATGCGCACAGCAAACAAGTATAGACTAGATTGCCTAATTTGGAAATAAGCATTGCATATCCGTTTGTCTTGAAAAACACTTTGGAATTTGCTACTCGCAAGTAGGCTAAAATACGGATTTCAACGAGTTTTTCCAACTCAAACAATCCAACCTTCACCCACAGGCATTCAGACAGTTTATCACATAAGCATCTAGCCACATGGTAAGCATGCTGTCATGATAGCATTCACACGCATGCGATATGCTAAAGCATAAAAATACTTACATCGTACTCCGTGCCAAAACTATAAACTAGTTAGCCGACATGCATGGTCCTAGTTCATGTCAAATTGACTAATGCAACACATACAGGATGCAATTTAGAGTAGGCTTAGCTAACCTAAACATGGCATGTGAAATGCAATCAATTGATGCACGTATTCAATTTGGAATTGAAGTACAAATGCAGTTAACATAGTGTACCAAGCCTGGTGCATGCAAGACGAATGTATGGATGCACGCATGCATAGCATAAGGTATGCTAATTTAAACATGCCCTAATCTACCTTCATAAGCACGTAAATAAAAGGGAAGAAAGAAGTGGGGATTGGAAGACATGCACATACGCATCCATACTTATTACAAATTTGCCCTCGCTCGGAGGGACCGAATAAATATTACAGATAATTAACCTACAAGCTAATTAAATATTACAGGCCATCTAATTAGCTAAGCAAATTAACTAATCTAGGGAAAGCAGATAAGCCGCCTCGGGAAGAGAGCCCAATGCAATGCATGCTCGGTCCTGCTCGGAAGTGCACTGCCATGCATAGGCTGCCTCTGTTTTTCCTACTCTGCCTCTTTGAAGACTGCCAAAGTCTCAGAATTGCATCCTTGGACATTGGGAGGCCCCACCGGTTGAGTAGAATAGCCACCGGCAGTAGTGTGTAATCATCGGCTGTTGATGAAGCTATCGGCCCAAGAAGAATTGCCGGTCGGCACTGAACACTACCGGTCAGCAGAAAGTTCCTGCAGAATCTGCAATTGACAGCAGCAGAGGGCAAGGCATAGCATGGCAATGCAATTCAAGCAATGTATGCACCAATCCTATCCCTTATCATGTATACAACTCAAAGGGATATGGTCCTTGGTTCTCGGACCATCAATCGCGCATTTCAATGCGTGATGGGCCAAGAGACCAAGTTATGCATTTTCATGTCAAATGAAATGCGATGCACACAATCAAACCAAGGGGCTTCTACTTCCATCATGACTTGGTGAAGAGGTAGAGCATGCATGCCAATGCAATGCAATCCTAATCATGTGAGCTAACATGCAACATGAACATACAAGCAAGTGATGTATACTAGGTACACAAACTAAGCAAACAAGCAAACAAGCATGCCATGACTATGCAAACTACTAAAGTATGCAAGATGCAATCTAATCATGCAACATGCTAGTAACTTGACCAAGGGAATGCATGCCAAATGCGAGTGATTTCAAACATGCAACACATGCAACCAAAGCATGCAAACATGGGATAATGTAACAACACTTGAATGGCATGCAAGGGATGGACTTACACTAATTGGACAGCTCTAAGTTAGGTCCAAAACAATGGCCAAAGCTTAAGAAGATGGGACCAAACACGCATACACACATGCACACGTTAAGGCCTAAATACCTAAGCATCAAAGGGCATCTTTTAAGCACACTTAAAAGGGAATAATCATAGACATGGGGCATGCATTAAGCTCTAAAAATCATACAAGAACATGGTGCCAAACCAAGTAAACAAGATAGGCTAAACATGCAACAAATGGCCCAAGTATTCAAGGCAAGCTAATGAAGTATTGAACTACACTTGATATGACCACACATGGTAAGACCTAAATGACCAAAAACAGAGTTTTTGCACATAAAACAAAGCCCAAAAGACCACTTAGATGGCATCTAAATGGCTTGAATTCAAAAGCATGCACAAATGCACTTTCAAGGAGCATACCACACAAGCTCATAAGGCATCAAAGAGGCATCCAAGGTAAGCATACAAGCATGCTAAGGGGACTAAAATGATGCTATAAATGGTGCCAAACCATTAAAATAAAGCAAGTAATGCATGCTATGCCCTCACATACTTAAGGCCAACAAGCCAAAAATGCAAAGAGGCTATACTAAACATGTCATGGCCGACCAAAATGACTAAGGACAGGCCTCAAACATGGCAAAATAAGCACAAAAGCTTCACAAAGTTAGGCCTAAAACACGCTAGAACCATGGTTTACAACCTAAGGCATGTTAAGGCCTAAACATGGCATTACAAGGTAGGTATGCTAAGCATGCATGGTGTACCAAAACAACATACGAACAATGCTATTTCATGGAAAAAAATAAGCATAAATGGCAAGCCAAGGAATGGTCGAACATTGAGGCTTAGCTAGAGTGCTCATTAAAAGAGGAAAATGGCCCTTTCAAGACAAACAAGAGAGGAGGGTGGCCCTCTCGTTCTTGGGGACCTCAAGCACCATCTCACCCTGAGAAATCCCTAAGATTCATGTGGTGAGAGGCCCAAACACAGTCTCGGAGCTCACACAAAATGGCACAAAATGGAGCCTTTACAAGGCTTAAGAGGGGTCAACAACCTCAAACCACAAAACACTCTAAACAAACTATTTAGAGGACCTAAAGCATAACTTTTTATGTTATTCAATTAAGCTCAAAAACATTCTAAAATAGGCAAAAATGAATGCAAAAATAGGGAATAAAGGACAAACCTTCTTTACCCTTGAAACCGTTCTCACAGAAGGTGGACCAGGCGTGCTTCCTTGGAGCTTAACACCAGTCCCAAAACTCCGTAAGAACAGACCCTTGTCCTTCAATCTAAAGATAAGAAAAGTTGTTAAAACCACTTGTGTTGTTTGTGATGCAAATAGTAAAGACACCAAACCCCAGCTATATACAACACACAAGAGAAATTAGAAATATTAGGATACTGTATTGAAACCCGTAAACCTAGAACTCAAACCCTGAAAATGGCTGTCTAAAAATTGTGCCAACCCTTGCACAGGAGAGAAGAGACCTCATCTTGTATAGAGGCTTATGTCTTGTATAAAGCTTAAAGACAAGCTTCTAGGAGAGATCCCCATACACGGTAGAAGGGGAGCCAAATGGCAAGACAGTTTGGTTCAAAATATCTGCAAAGAGCAGATGCACAATAAGTCGCCCTGCCAAAGATGCAATTGACCAAGAAAAAGAATAGCCGACCGGCTATCGTTATGAGTTGCCGACCGGCCAAATATTTGGCCGGTGGCCACAAAACACAGCCGATGGCCTCAAGCCACGGCCGGTGATGGGTGGGGATGGACTACAAGCCCTACCCTGCCTCTCAAAGGCAAAACACAAGTGTTTGGTGTCAAACCAAGCACAAAACAGTCGAGTCGAGAGGTCCTGCGACGAGGCGCGCTGCCAAGGCTTCCGAGAACTCAAGACGAACACAAACATGGATAATCACCGAGTGTTCAAATGGTGACGTCCAAGTCTTGAGAACGGTCAAAAATGGGGTGTCTACAGTGCCTTTCGAAACGAAAACCCTTGGGGCCCTGTATTACCTTATGCTAATCCACGCAGTTCGTCAGAATTTATACCAGCCACACTAATTACATCTTCGTCAATCCCTTCCAAAGACCCATCATCCCTCTTTCGTTTAATCTTCTTTGTACTATGCCGGAGTAAATCAGTTTCTTTGGTAGAGAAGGGTTCCTTTGTTTGCTCCTCCATTTCAAAAAAAAAAAAAATTAGCTTTCAAATTGGTGCCAAACATCTAGTTCCAAAAAAAAAAAAAAAAAAAGGAAGTTGGTGGCAAACGTGGTCCAAGAAAAGTGATTTTAATTTCTATTAATTGTTCTGTGGTGTAAGTAGAATTTCCTATTAAAAACAATGAAGAAAATCTCATATACCTAAAATAAAATAAAAAAAAGAGTAAACTACACTAGCCTCCTTGAGGTTACTAAAAATTATAGAAATCCCCTCTCAAGTTTCTAAAAATGACACTGTCCTCCATTTTGCTCTAGTCACACGTAACAAATTCCTCTTCCGTCAAACTTGTGTTAGTAGCGTTAACAAAATGTACAGACCTCATCACTCGAATTTTTTAAAATACCATTTTTACTCTTTTAGAAGTCAGCCACCTCCTCTATAGTTACAATACTTATCCCTCCTTCCAAATTATTGTTGATGAAAAAATAAATTGAAGGAGTTGCTGTCTAGTCACTCATTATTCTGTCTCTTTCCTCCTCCTTCTTCTTCTTCTTCTTCTTCTTCTTCTTCTTCTTCTTCTTTTTTCTTTCCCTCCTTTTTTCCACATTTCTCTTGAAGTTGTATATACATATTCCATAAACCTTTTCTTTTTCTTTTTTTTTTCTTCTTTCACATGGAATTTGGATGCTTCAAATCCCTGCAATGTAACTGAACGCACTATCTTCTCAGTCAGAGAGAAAAACACAATATGTCATGCATACAACTTTTCTGTCAAACAAACGGATAAGCAAGCGATCTCACTTTCATTTAATAAACAAAAACACACGCACATTATTTTAGAATTGAAAGACAAAATTGTCCTTCTACATACATTAAATTTCAATGAAAATATCTATATAAATAGGTTTACATATACCTTCTCCTGCTTTCTTCCATCCTATGTTCTTGCAGGATATGTGGACAATTTGAAGGATGCGTCAAAGTCGAATGAAATGTGTTTACATGAACCATGCTTTTGTAGGAAATACAACTGCTTAGTTGCTTATACGAGATGCTCTACGGATCATTCATAGATTAGTCTTTGGTCACCTCATGAAATCATGGAATTTAATCTTTGGAGGTTTACTTTCATTGAGTGCATGAAAGACCGAAGTTTGGAGTGAGAGTGTGTTTGGATAAAAATAAAGAAATATAGTCACATGAAATTTTGTAATTGTAAAAGTACTTTGTCCCCTCAACAAAATTTTTGAATTTGCAACTGCTTGAGTCAGTGACAGAGGCATACACATGTATAAAGTTCTACCAAATAAAATAAAATCATCCCATCAACCAAGCAGATTTAGATTTTGTAACTGGACATAAAACTTGTTTCACGATTCCAAAACATTATAATAGTAATCATGCACATGGTTCAGTAAGTACCCTCAGAGCGTCATGGAATCCCATCCCTCACTCAACTGGACTTCTTCCTCTCACTCTTCAATTTCCATGCTGAGGATTAATTTCAGTGCCTTCTTGCAGGATGTTTCCTTTTTTCTTCCTTGGACAGAGTTTGCCGGTGCAACTCCAAGAGGGATTCAATTTTCTACACATACAATCAAAGGGTGTTAATCCTTATTTCTCGAATCCCTGTATGTGCATGAAAAATGGTGAAAGGTCTAAATAGGTTACTTTTTTTCTGTGCGTTATATTTTATACTGCTTGAAAGAGATGATCACAACTTACTGATGTGTTGCACTGCCTTGGGAATCACGATCTTCAGTAGTCGTTAAGAAGCCTTTCTTCTGGAACTTGCGGGTTTTTCTGGTGTTGCTTTCTCTTTTTTCATTTGTCTTTTCAAACAATATATCTTGACTGTATGGTTCTATACTTGCATCACTCTGCGGAATTGAGGATAATGACAACCACCTGTGTTTCGGCTTGTTTGCTTTCATGATATGGGGGGCTGTGTCTATTGAGTTTTGCCCACTTTTTAGAACGACATCTCTTTCAGGGTCTGCAGATGTGTCAAATTGGTTCTTCTGAGTCACAAGTCCAAGAAAGGGGGAGATATTTTGGGGCCAAGTTGTGTTTGCTTCTCCTTCTCCTTCTTCTTCTTCTTCTTCTTCTTCTTCTTCTCCTTCTCCTTCTTCTCTGTGTTGCCTTTGATTCATTGTGCAGTTTATAAATTTCATAGTCCTTGACCTTGAGTGTTGTTCTGATGGAGGAGATAATTCCAGAGTTGTAGTACTAGTATGGCGCGTTGCTGCAGCTTCAAAATTCATATTGTGAAAAAATTCACCCAAAAAAGGTATTCTCTGCTGTTGTTTCGAATTAGAAGGATTCACTAACTGGCTGCTACTAATAGAGATTGTATTTGCTTTGATGATTTCCAAGTCAACTGGTTCTAGGCTCATGTTTACTGTGACGGGGCACCCAATGGCATTTTTAAGAGCCTTGGATATGCTTTCTTCTGACATCTGGGCTGCCATCTTGTCTTCATGTCTTTTAAACATCAAATGTACAATCATGTTGGCTGTTGGATGTGGAAATTAATATTTTATGAATAAAAAATGAATCCCCCGAATAAGTGCGTGCTCTAAGAGCTGGCAATGATATCATTTGATGCATAAATAAAGGAAATCGAAAAAAACAAAAAACAAGAACAGCATTACCTCTGGATACAGTTAACGATGCAAGCTTCACTTGGTGGCACAAGAAGTCTTTAATATATATACTCTCTATTCTTCCCAGCATATTCTGCCAAATTTCTTCCATGTCACTCATGTGTGCCAAATTGGGTTCCTTTTGAACTTCTTTGCCTCTGGATCTTTGGATCTTATCAATGCTTTTAATGGTCGGGCTGCCTGGTTCAATTATGTCCATATCTGGTTGCTTGGAAGTTCTGCTGGTGGGATGATGATGTATGTTGCTTCTGCTGCAGCCAGATAATCCTCGGCTGTGTATATCTTTGGAAACTGCATTTGGCTTGCCACCTACAAAAGCAAGCCAACTTGTATAAAAGGCGCGGTGTTGTGCTGTGCTGAGTTTCATGTATTAATTTACCACGGTTTTGAATTTCATTTTTCCATTGTCTGATTACCAATAATTAATACCTGGGAGTGAAGTTATGCTTCTTGGCAAGATGATGCCTGTAGATATTTTGTTGCTGACATCTTCAGAAGTAATTTCTAAAAGGGCAGCCAATATTCTTGTATTCTGGTCAGTTGAGGACCAGAGTTGCTTCTCTGTTTCAACTAGTATCTTTAACACATGGCACAATCTTTCTGATTGAGTGATTGCTGCAAAAAAATTTCAAACAAAATAAATTCAGAGTATCAACCGATAGGTAGTGAAAATGTTACATACTGTAGTGAATTGAAGTAGCTTACTAAGTTTTGATCTGCTTCTCGACAGCCTCTTATCCTTATCCTTGGATGATCTCATTGATGATGAAGAATCTGATACAACAGCACCTGAAAGTATGTCTGAAATGAGATATGCCAATTGGGACACAAGGGCTCGCGGTTCAACACCTGTTGCGATCAGCTCCCTTGTATATCTAATAGTCTTGATAGTGTCTCCTGAAGTTGCTGTTGCAAGCAAGTCAAGAAGCATATTTTGGGGAACAAGACCCACCTGTAAAAGAGTAGAGCAAGTACTGTTAAATATTAACATGTTTGACATGCATCAACAGAAAGCAACACACAGATACACAATTTGAACACAAAGTGAAATTAAAAAGACGCACAAGCTGTTGGACCATGGAACTAGTGATTGTTGATCCCAGCAAGGCCAACTGATCCAATAAGTTCTCAGCTTCTCTCAAGGATCCTTCCGCCTTGGCAATTATCAGTTTCAGTGCTTCCTTGTCAATTCGTATACCCTCGCAAGCCACAATCTTGGCTAGCTTCAGTGTCATCTCCTCCTTCTTAAGTTTTGGGAAGCAGAATTTTTGACATCTTGATGATATGTTTGTGGGAACCATGTTTGCATCTACAGTGATGAGGACAAATACAACTCTAGAGCCATGTCCCCTTTCCACCATGCCCAAAAGTTCATCCCATGCTTCTGCATTAAATGAGTGGCATTCCTTAATGATTAGGACTTTGAAACCTGGAATTGCCTGGGTAAATGAAGTGCTCTGCAGGAGAGTCTTAATTCTTTCAAATCCAGCTATTCTACTTCCAGAACACAACTCCATGATATAAAGGCTTCTTGAGCAGCCTCTACAACTCCAGCACGGCTTAGGCTTAATGAGAGAAGTTGACTCACAGTTTAGTGCCATGGCAAAAATTCTAGCAGTGGATGTCTTTCCAGTGCCATTGGGGCCATGGAAGAGATAAAGACGTGCAATTTTTGCCTTTTCAATAGCTTTAGATATGGCCTTAACTGTAAACTCATGACCTGTGATGTCTTGGAAAAGCTTGGGTTGATACTTGTGACTTAAGAGGAGGACATCAGCTTTGGTTTGCAGAGCAGAATCGAAGCGTAAACCCCGGCAGACTTTGTCCTGGCTCAATAATATTGGATAAATTTCCTCCCTTGAGGTTAAAGCTTCCTCATCCTCCTCTTCCTCCTCCTCCTTAGATGACAAGTCTTGTCCCTCCTCCTGCTGCTGTTCCTGATGTAGACGACAACTGCTTTCAGTTTCAGTGACTGTTTTCTGTTTGTTTCTACCATTGTTGTTGGACCTCCTACTACTTGTTATACAAAATACCTTTCTTCTTCTTCTTCGAATTCCCTCGTGCATTCTTGACCACTGCAGTGGAACAGTACTACAGCCCATATAAATGTGTCTGGATTTGAGGCTTCTGGTACTTGTACTTCTTCTGTACTGGGGGGGCTCGGGAAGTAGTGGTGTCAGGAGGCCCTTTTGCCTTGCACTTGAAGAGGGAACAAGAGAAGATTTCACTGAAAAGGAATCCTCCACCTCTACCTCCGCCTGCTTTAGAGGGTGTCCCATTGCTGTGGGTGGGATTTGTGGGAGGAAGACGTATGGCGCAGAGGAACACCGACAGAACAATAGAGCTGCAGGGATGAGACTGCTGATCTAGCAGATCTCCTCAGCCTGCTTTTTATATATATTAATTTTCACTCTCAATCATTGAGCTTCATCTGTCTGATTAATGCTTACTGATTTAGTATGATGCCTTGCATATCAGTCCTGGTGGTGATAGACAACTGGGGGATGATATATGTGCAAAGGGGATCCGGTTGTATAACCACCTGGGTTGGCTCGGCCATTGGTGGGAGGTTGAACTGTTGAGTGAGTAAAATGGTTTTTTTATTTTTTTGGGTTACAAGTCAAAGTAGCAGGAGAGGAGCACAAGTGGTCTGAACTCGTGGTGCTGGCCGGCCCACACTGAGATGCGAATATTAGTGGAAAATATGTTTTTGCTTATGAAAGAAGCTTCTATTTGTTGGCGGTTGGGTCCTCGGCCGCCCGGCCGGCCGTCTATAATAAGAATTATTATAATAGAAAACCGAAATCATAAACTATTTTATACACCTTCATGGCGTCAGTCACCATCCTTCATTTCTAAACAAATGCTGAGGAAGACTGTTTACTGTTGGTAACTCGCTCGCTTGCTCACTCACTCACTGAATGAATGCGGGCTTTGAATACCAAATTGCGGTGGGTCTTTTTCCAAACATTTTTAAATCCTTCTTTTTATTTTCTGCTGTGGGTGGGGTGGAGTCTTAGTTGGTTTTGGGAGCATACTTAGACGTAGTAGAGTAATGGAATTAATGGTCTCTCTCTGTCCCTCTCATATTTGCTACCCACGTGGCAGGTTTTTGTATATCTCTGGAGTGATTGGCTTGACTTGATGCCGACCCACTCATGGTGGTGGTGGTGCGATTTTGTTTGGACCCTTTCGCATAGGAATCCAGTCGGTCTGTCATTGGGTAAAGCTAAAGACCTTCCTTTTTTATTTTACTACGAGGAGGCAAAGGACGACTCTCTGCTTTTGTTTTTGATAACAATAATAATAATGAGCTTAAAAAAACAAAGAGATTCCAGTAAGCCTACACAAATACAAGAACAGTTTTTTCATTCTTTCCTGCAAACGAATAAGACAGTTTTTAAGTATTTGGTCAGTTTCTTGGCCTCTCTCCTCCAATTTGATACGTAAAATTTGTGCAGTTGTGCCCATCATCCAGACGAATAGACAGTTATGCCAGCCAGCCATCTAAGGTTTTCTCTGGATCTTGATGAGGAGAGGCAACTTTAAGAATGCTTTCTTTTAAATATATATATAAGCATACAGCTGAAGTTGTGTGTTTACTCCCTCTGGATGGCCCAACTTCAGGAATGTTTTCCTTTTAAAAATAGAACATACAACTGAAGTTGCGTTCACAGTTACGCTGGATCATTAAGAACAGTTGAATGTCATGCAGACTTAACACAATTATTAGGCCACTTAACCCATCATGGCTTAGGATCCACCAAGAAAATGTATCATTGTTGAAGGTCTTAATGTTCAAAAGCTAGCAAGATAATGCCCCAATTTTTTAATTTGGCATAAGATTTCAAAAAATAAATAAATAAAATCTTGGGACTCTAGTTTCTCTCTCACAGAAAGAATTTCAAAAAATAAACTAAAATGGTAAACATGAAAACTAATTTTAAATTTATGAGGTGTAGGTGAAAACTATGCTCCATAACACAATTTTTACTCACATCGGGGCACAACTCTCACTTGCACTATTTATTTATTTATTTTATTTTTAGATAAGTTTTAAAAAATGAGACATTTTGATTACCATATTTCGTTGTTATTGTCCAAACTTCCCATTTTTTAATATTGGCAAGAGATGGCAGGGACCAGCAGCAGCAGAGAGAGAGAGAGAGAGAGAGCACCCATTAAGCTAGGCATTGCAAGTAGAAGAAAGAAACCAAAAATGAAAGTTGAACAATCAACTACAAAGTAGGGCCTGAAACTCCAATTTTCTTCTTCATTCTGGTTAATCATACAAACAAACAAGACAAAAGTCAAAGTATGGTATAGAACAGATGAAACATTCTTATTCTTTGCATTCCCTAAAAGCTGATTGTCAACTAATATTGATGCCATGCGGCCTCACATCAAGATTATGCCCGTCTGTCTGTCCTATTGTATAAAGACTACAGTAATACTTGGCGGCATTTTGGTAGATGCATACATACATTATATATACATATGCACCTACCTGCCTTCGCTGTTTACAAGGATGGATTGTTAAATTGTCACCTAGCCCCCACCGGACACAATGTCACTCTGTGCGTGAACTACAGCAGTGACTGTTGTGCAGTCCGTTGAATTCATTCGAGTCTTATTTTGATTATCTGAACCGTTGAAAATTTAAAAAATATCGAGAACAATGTACTTGTAAAAAATTAAGTTGATCGGATATCAATAACCTGTTCATCAAATAATATTCGTATTTAGTTTGATACATACATTTTCATTTTTTTATATAAAGATGTTATTTGATGAACATGTTATTGATATCCGATCAACTCAATTTTTTACAGGTATATTGTTCTTGATATTTTCTAAATTTTCAACGGTTCGAATCATCAAAATATGACTCGAAATGAGTTTCACGGGCCGCACAACAGTCACTGTAGTGCTTCACGCACAGCAGTGACACTGGCTCCAGCCCGCACCAACCAATATCTACCCCCGCCAGCCACTTGGCCCACCCTTTCACTTATGCCTTCCATCCCCTTCTCATTGCCATTTGTTTGTTTTCACTTAAAAATAAATTGAAATTAAGCTTTAAAAAAAATTAATAATTAAATAAAAAAAAAACTAACTTAAAACGTAGCTTTGTTTTTTTTTTTTTTTTTTAAAGTACAACTATTTAAGAGTGTATTATTAAATTTATAAGTGGAAACAAACAGGTTAGCATCAACAGAGGTTCAGGTGATTTTCGGCGATATTCTGGCGGTACTCTGGCGACATTCCGACGACCCATTTTACACTTCTAAAAGTGTAGATCTACAGTTTTAGAGAGTAGATCTGGACTTTTATGTCCGAAAAAGGATTTTTGAGAGTTTTCTCCTCTGATTTTAACATAGACTTTTGATTTTTCGACACCCACAATGGTTTCCTCCTCTCTCAAGCCTTCTCCAATACCATTGTGAGTGTACTTTCTTCTCCGCCGGTGGCGGCAGTGGCGGCGAAATTGGGCAGCGATAGAAACACCATTGATAGGGATGGCAAGCTTTCAGATAGATTTTACTTTTCAGACCACATATTTGAACAGATCGGTAATTTTTTCTGGATCGTAACTATTTTTTTCTGGCAGATTTATATTTTTGTTTTGTTTTGTTGTTTGATTGGGATGGCCCTTTGAGGTCTTATTTATGTAGTGTTGTTGTTTTATTAATATAATGTTTCCCATATTCTCAAAAAAAAAAAAAAAAACAGGTAAACGTCCCAAGAAGTTTAAGCGAAACCTTAAACAATATGCTATGCTATAATCTTGAAAGAAGAAGATTGTCTTCCTATTCTAAGAGGCTGCATATTTGGGTAAGGTCTCATATTTAAGACAGCAAACCAACAAGTGCTCACTGAATTTATTTACTTATGTGCTATTAGGACTGGAAATCAAATAGATGAGAGGCCTACTTTTGATCTTTGCACATATTTCTGCAAAAATTACAATATTAGGTGATCATGTTTAGAACTAAGGCAACATAAAGCAATGGGTGGGAATGGGGATGCTGGACAAAACCATGCGAATGCTAGACAAAACCATCCCTTCATATTAGAACTTAATTTCATACTTAGTCTTCAAGGCGGCGTGTTTATCAGTCCTCACAGCGTCAGCTTCTTCTTCTTCAAACGCACAGTGCATACACCCACATCATATACCCTTAGCACCATAACACATTCATCAGAGTTGCACGCGAAGCGTGGTGGTACCATAGGAGTAGATTCCGTTCTCGCTAGTTTTTTATTTCCTAGTAGAAATATTTTTCCTAAGTTAGCCCAAAAGTATATACCAAATAAAGAGATAGCAAATACTTCTTTAAAAAATTTAGACATAAAAGATTTTAAATTAGAAAACATAGAAGATTTTGAATTAGAAGAAAAATATGACTCTTGGAGTTTAGAAGATTTTCAACAAATTATTAACTTAGAATTAATTTTTGCAAAAATAGGTAAACTGAAGAAAAAAACCAATATACAGAAGAACAAAAAATGATTTAGTTGAAACAATAGAAATTTTAGGAGAACAACCCATAAAATGCTGGGAAAGAAATAAAGTTTTAGCTAGCTTAGATATAAAAAATAAAGATTATAGGATTACATCAGCACAAATAGATCATACGCCAGCAGATATAGAAGAATTTAGAATACAGATTAAAGAATTATTAGATTTAGGAGTAATTCAACCTAGTAATAGTCCACATAGAAACACAGCATTTATGGTAAAAAAATCATGCAGAAATAAAAAGAGGGAAAGCTAGAATGATTATAAATTATAAAAGATTAAATGATAATACAAAAGATGATAAATACAGTATTGTAGACACCCCATTTTTGACCGTCCTCAAGACTTGGACGTCACTGTTTGAACACACGGTGATCTTCCATGTTTGTGTTCGTTTGGAGTTCCCGGAGGTCTCGGCTTGCGCGCCTTGCCTCAGGATCCCCGAACTCGACCGTTTAGTGTCTGGTTTTGCACCAAACACTTGCATCTTGCCTTTGAGAGGCAGGGTGGGGCTTGTAGACCATCCCCACCCACCACCGGCATTGGCTAGAGGCCACCGGCTGGTTTTTGCTGCCATCGGCAATATAGTTTGCCGGCTGGCACTCTTTGTTGCCGGTCAGCACTATTTGTTGCCGACCGGCACTTTTTTTGGCCAAGATGGCCTTTTTGGCCGGCCGATTGCTGTTCATCTGCTTTTGCAGATATTTTTAGACAGCTGTATGGCTTTTGCTCCCCTCCATACACGTGTATGGAGGGATCTCCCTCTTGCAAAGCTTGTCTTGTAAGCTTTACAAGAGGCATATAGAGAGGAGCTCTCTCTAAGGCAAGAGGAGAACTTTTAGACATTTTTAAGAGAGAAAAATACAGACCAAGCTCTGGTTTTTCTAGGGTTAGGGTTAGATATACACTCTCTATCCTCCTCTTTCCTCTTATTTGCACACTAGGTGTTTTGTGTCTCACTATTGCACACAAACACTAGTGTTTCACCTTCCTCTTGGAGCTGAGGTTCTAAAGGTTGTGTTTGTGCGATTTTGGTGTTGGATTCAAGCCAAAGGGGCCATTGGAGCACCATTGTGAAAGAGACTACAAGGGTAAGAAACTAGTCCTTTTTCCCCCATTTTTGCATTGATTTTCCACCTGTCTTAGAGCTGTTTTTGTGATTATTGTATAACATAAAAAAGTTCTGTTTTTGAGCCCTCTTTATTGTTTATTAAGAGTGTTTTGTTGTTTGAGGGTTGTTGACCCCTTAGGCCTTGAAAAGGCCTCATTTTGAGCATTTTGTGTTAGCTCCGGATTTTGGTGTTGAGGTCTCTTCACCACTGAAAATCTTGAGGATTTCAGTGGTGAGGATATGCCTTGAAAGTCCCAAGAAGGAGAGGGCCACCCCCTCTCCTGTTGTCCTTGAAAAAGGGCATATTTTGACCTCTTAAGGAAGCCTATGCTTGAGTGGTGTGAGCATGTTTGGTTGTTTTTCATGCTTATATATCCATAATATAACATGATTTCAAGTTGGTTTGGAACTCCATGCATGTTTAGCATAGTTGCCATGTAATGCCTTGTTTATGCCTTAATGTTGCTTAGGTTGTAGCTTTGTTGGAGCATGTTTTAGGCTTAGTCTTGTGAAGATTATATGCTTATTTTGCCATGTTTTAGCTCTTTCATAGTCGTTTGGGTTGATCTTGGCATGCTTGACATAGCTCCTTTGTATTTGGGCTTTGTTGGCCTTGAGCATGTGCATGTGTAGCATGCCATCTTTGCATTGTTTTGGTGATTTGGGATCATTCTACATGCCATTTCAGTCCCATTTCCATGCTTGTTTGATTGCCTTGCATGCCTCTTTAATGCTTGAAAGCATGTGTTGCATGCTCCATGTTTTGGCCATGGTGCATGCCTTTGTATTTGGGCCATTTAGATGCCATCTAAAGAGCCCTTTAGCCTTGATTTAACGTGCTATAAACCTGTCTTTGGTTGCTTAATGCATGCCTTGTTTGGTCTTGTTAAGTATAGCTTCAATGCCACTTTGGTTTACTTTGAACACCTAGGCCATTTGTTGCATGCTTGACTTGATTTATAACTTGATTGGATCATTTTATGACATGATTTCAATGCTTATGTTGCATGCTAATTGCTCTTGTTTCCCCTTTCAAGTGTGCTTGAATGTTGTTGATTTGTGCTTAGTGTTGGCCTTATGTGCATGTGTGTGTGCATGCCATTTAGCCTTCATTTTATAGCACTATGGCCACTGTTTTAG